CAACACGCCCCGCCGGCCGAACCCCGCCGTATCGGCTGCGGCGAGAAGGGCCTCGCGCCCCGCGGCTTGTTGAAGTCGGCTGAGAAGACGCTGTCGGCGTCTCCCGCCCCGACGCCGTTCTGCTTCTGCTCCGCCGCCAGCGCCGCGAGGGACTGGTAGCGCTCCGACTCCATGAGCAGGCTGTCCCCCCTCCCGTGCCCCGGGCGCGTCACCTCGGAGGCCGGGTCGGCGAGGATGCTCCTGGGGGGCAGTATGGAGAAGAGCTTGGCGGCGTCTGCGCCGCCCGACGAGGCGGTGGCGTGGCCGCCGGCGTCCTCGGCGGCGAACAGGTCGGTGCCCTTGTCCAGCAGGTCGTCGAGGCCGCCGCCGGTCCAGCCCTTGCGCGCCAGGCTCTCGAAGATGTCGACCTCGGCGCGCACCAGGCTGCAGCTCGCGTCGACGATGCGGGCGCTCGTCTCCTGGCTCTCGCGGAGCAGGGCCCGCGAGTGGTCGGCGTGGAGGGTGGTCAGGCCGTCCAGCTTGCGCGTGAGCTCGACGAGGTGCGCGCGGAAGCGGGCCACGTCGCGGCGGCGCTGCCTGTGCAGCTTCAGGCCCTCCTTTTCCAGGCGCTTGACCTCCCTGCTCTGGGCCTTGATCCTGGCCTGGTACGTCTCCTCCTCGTCGTCGATGACGGTCTGCCACTTGTCGAGGTCGTGGAGGAGGGGCACCTCGAAGGAGCGGTAGACGGTCTCGGACAGGATCTGGTGGTGGTTGGCGATGAGGTGGTGCACGCCCGAGGCCGAGAGGAGCGTGTCGGCGGTGCAGGCGCCCATTGTGGTGAAGCTGGCCGTCATGCCGGCGCCGGCGGCGTGGTGGCCGATGGGCTCGGCGCGCGATTCCTTCAGGCGGGCGCACGACTCGAGGGCCGAGGCAAAGGACGACGCGGCCGTGGATAGGGTGGCGAGCGCGAGGCGGTACGACTTGGCCGAGGCGACGAGGTCCGAGTAGGCGAGGTGGGAGGATTCGAGGTCCTTCTTGGTGAGGACGGCGTGCGAGGGCCGCGGTGCTGGCGGGAGCGGGAGGTTGAAGCTGGAGAGCGGGTTGGCCGTCGATGCGATGGAGTAGACGGGCGAGCTGGGCACGGGGGGCAGCTGTGAGGGCGTCGGCGAGGGCGGACGCGAGGGGTTGGGAGAGGGCATCGCCGGCTGCGTCGTGTGCCTTGCGGCGTTGCGTTTGGTGATGCAGGTTTCGAATGTTTGGATGCCGCCGATGGTTCAACAAGGCTTCGCACGTGGATGTGGTCGAGGTTGCGGTATCGAGGGCGGGGCGACTGTGGACAACGGCCCCCCCGGCGAGGACATGGGATCGAGGATGAGGGTTCGAGATGAGCAGATCAACTTGACTATAGGTATAGGTTGTCTGAGCCACTGCCAAAGTGCTTGCATGTCACATTCATGTTTTTACAAGTGCCCGCGGCCGCGGCACCTACATATTCCATGCCTTTGGCTGCAGAACAAGACTGCCGCTTCCAACCTCCGCAGACAGCAACTCCGACTCCTCCGGCGAGGCCTCTGCCAACATCTGCTCCTGCTCCACAAGCACCTCCCTCAGGTACTGCAAGCACTCTTCAACCCTCTGCAGGTTCTACCCGCGATTACACAATTGAATCCAAAGCTCGCCATCATAACCGTATTAGCCCCTACCGTGTTATGGTCCGGCTAGAGCGCGACCCAGCCAGTTGTTGATGCGGAACTGGAGCCGTTACGGAGCCGATGCGGAGCCTGTATAGTCAAGTGTCAATTGAGTGAGCTGTAATATGCAGCCTGGCGTGTTCAATGCCTCCACGGTCAAGGGCTCGGGTCACCAGCCGCCCGACACTCACTATGACCTCCTGTTAGCTTTAAGCCTCTCGAAAAAGTTGTGACGGGTAACTTGCTTGCTTTGACCATCGTGAGCGTCTTGTATAGCTGTACCAAGCCGGAAAACCGTAAAATACCTCAAAATACACCACATACGCATCGCGATGCATCAGACACGCTAGCAAGACTGGTGATTCATCGCGGCGTTACTATATATTACGCTTAAATGTCAAGTTTTTAAAATTACTGGTATAAATTATATTTTACTCGCACGTAATCAGTGGTCAAGGCTGCTACGAGATGACCTTGGACGGCGTGCCGTGATGAATCAGCAATCTTGTTAGTGTTCAACGTCTTACGACGCGTGTACTTGTAGTGTATTACGTGTCTATGATGGTCTGATGGTTCCCTTAAAAATAAGAAATAAAATTTAAAACTTAATAGTACTGTAGATGCTCGCTCAAAACACAGATCGCTATGCTTCAAAGATTCCTCCAACCACCCTCCCTTCAAGCACCGGGCCCGCACTTCCACGAGCAAGCCCTGTGCAAAAACGGAACCGCCTGCTCGCCCTCCGCCAAACTCAAAGGCCGCTCTGACACGGCGTTGCCGTTGACCTCGCGTGTCCTGATTTCGCGCCACTCTACCCACTCGAGAGACGGCACGATGATCAACTTGCGGCAGTGGGAGCACGCAACGCCACCCATGTCCTTTTGCTTCGTTGCTCTTTCCAGAAGCTCGCGGAGATGGGGCAAGCCCTCGGGGATGAAGTACTGGAGCTCGGACAGCTGCGAGGTGGAATAGCAGCTGCGGAGTGCAATCTCCACCAATGATGGCACACAGCCTGCCTTGATGGATTGACTTTGGCCGGTTGTGTCGGTGTCGAGATGAATTCCAGATGCCACGGCCAGTTTGTTTGATTCCTCGTAAGATGGAATCTTGAATTCCGACAAGACTTGTCCTATTGAGTCGGAAATCTGCAGAGGTGATCGGCCAAGATGCCGTGTTAGCAGGGGCTGCGCCGACTGCTCGGAAGATTCGTCTCCCTCGGCGTGTAACTGCCTCTCGGGTTCAAAAAATGGGTTCGGATGCAGGACCAGATCTCCCAAGTTCTTGCCAAAGAGGTCTAGAAGCTCGGCTGGAAGGGACCGAAGGCGATTCTGGGAAACATTGAGCTGTTTTAGATTCCGCAACTTTGCTATCGCCGGCGGAATCTCAGTCAATTTATTGCCTCGCAAGCTTAGAATCATGAGGTACTGGAGATCAAACAATGTTCCCGGGATAAGTCGTAGCCGGTTCATGGTCAAGTAAATCTTCAGTTCTGGATCCTTTTGCTCAAACGCAACGTCCTTGGCCACCACGGGAATGCACGAAAAGTTCTCGAGGGGATGAAAAGTCTCCTTGGACATCTCCTCCAATCCCATGGACCAGAGGTCAATTGTTTCATCTCCTTGCTCGAGACAAGACTGAATCTTTTCCCTGGCCAGCAGCTCCGCTTTGGAGACGGCGGGAATCAGCGGCTGTGGTCGCTCAGTTAATTGAGGCAACTTGGATTGCAGAGGCATCTCCAAGACCTCAGAGGCCAAGTCATCCCCCTCAGTGCCATCACTCCCCAGGTAGACACCGCTGTCAAACTGGCGTGCCAGTTTGCGCTTTGGCTTCGGTAGAATCATGTGCTCACTAAAGGTCGAGTCGGACGACGTGGGCTGTTGCTGAAACCACGAGCCTACATATCGCTTCTTCTTCCGGCCTTCCACATAATTGTCTAGGCTAGGATCGTCGTCGCTGGAGAAGACAGCCGGGTCGCTGGAGTTGTAAAGACCGCCCGAGCGTGGGTGGCGGACACGCTTTCGGGAATTGTTGCTAAAGCTTTGAGAGCTCTCATCCCACGAGACTGCCGGAAGGCAGGGGAGAGATGGCTCTTCTGCCATTGATTAGGGGCAGCGCAGTAATTGAGGTAAGAAACACTATTGTCAGACCGACTGGGGAGGAGACAGCTCAATGGAAGAATTCCGACGCCTTTTGATATGGTCGAAACCTCCGATGGCTGGAGACGCGCCAGGAACGCGATGATGAGTAGACTTCGGAGCTCGGCAGTAAATAACCAGGCCTCCAGGGTCCTATATCCACTTTGCCGAAGCCCCCGCCTCTTTGTCTTGAAGTCGCGTGCAGTCCCAAGACAGATGGTAGGCCCATCTAATACACCAGATTACATAAACGTTGACGAACAAATTGCATACATCTGTATGCGGACACCCTACGGTTGATCGGTTTCTTATTGTCTCATCACCCTGCGCCGTACGATACGTTTCGCGCTCTGTCATTTTTATTCACCCCTCCCGACAACGGGCCATGTTGAAGATTTTCAAGTCCGGTTCCAGCCGCCTTTGCCTAGGTGGCTTGAATTTCATCAGAACTCTCTGTGCACGAATATGGTCTCGCATCATAAATAGGATGGTATCTTCTAGCATTCTCCATCTCTTAGTCCCAGTCGTCATCATCATCATCATTATTTCTTGATCGTCCCGCCGTGCCAGTCTTAATGCTCTTGCCGGCAAGCCGTTCTTCCTCTGCATCCTCAGCAGCTTGCCGTCTCTTTATGATGCGCATATCCGACTCGGAAACCGCACCGACTTCCACAAGGATATTGTCTATATGGCGCATATTCGTTCGGACGCCTCCAAGGGTCACGAGTGTTACAACCTGCTTAACAATGTCCCCGTTGTTGTAGACCAGAATCGTGGGGCAATTTCGATCTGGGTAGTTCTCAATCGCTTGGTTTGCTCTGATTTCGCAAAACTTAATGTCTCCATATTCCTTGGCAGCCTGCCTCCAGAGATCTGATAGGACTCGCGATTCCACATTAGTCCCTGTACCCGACGTCAAATTGACGAATACAGGCCCATTCTGGGATGCCTCTGTAACTTCGCGCTGGTAATCTGGCTTCGATATTGGATATACGCTGCCGTGGATAGACTTCTTTTGCAGGTTGTTGAGCTCCGCCATTCGTTTTTGGCGATATTGGTCCAGAAATTCATCGTCTTCGAAATCCTCCAGCTCGTCCAGCTCGTCGAGATCTTTACCCTCAAGCCGATTCTCATGTGCCAGCCTTCTCCCTTCGAGAATAGCTTCCTCGATCATGGGAGTAGGACTCGGTGGCTTTTCGGGAATGACTCCATGTTTTCGCAGGATGTCGTTCCTAGATGTTGTCAGAGCTCTGCTATGAAGGCCATTACCACCGCGGGGTACTGAGTAATCACCACTCTGTGTCTGCGTTGGGATCGTCAATAGGAACAGCGATCCGTTGATCACCAGGAGCCGCCATTATGTTGCTGAGCCGCGGAGTTCGAGAACCAGGTAAAACATCCAATGGTCCTTTACCATGATATTAGTAGCAGAAGAGACGATAACGCCTCGAGGCTCTTTTTGCGACAGCCTGGTGTAGAATGACGACGAGCTTTCTGGAAACAGCAAGACGACGGGCTGTCCCACAGCTCTCAGCCAGTAATGGCATAAGTTGTATAAAGGAACTCTCCAGGTTGCATAAAATCCCAGGTTCTGTGGGTCCTTTGTTGTAATTTTACGATGTGCCCAGCTTGCTCCAATCAGAGCACCTAAAATTTTCATCACGTGGTGCTGGGCCAGGAAACCCTATTACACTAATCCGTTTGGGAGCAATTTCTGAGCTAGTGGCAAACGAGATTCTCCTCCTCAAGTCCACCGAACTTTTCCTCGCTTAACACCTCTCACGCATCTTGCGAGCCTCAAATCTGCCGCCAGATTTCGTCAAGTATTCCGAACCTCGCAAGACCCCGACGGCAAATCTCTTTCGAGTCAATCAGTCAAGATGGTGAGCGACGAATTTTTCCCCTACGATACCAGGAGTCGATGAGAATAGACCTCGAAAAGGGAGGCGAAAAACACGGTTGATGGACAAATCCTCATCACCGCCAGGGGGAATTGCTGTCGGCGGATGTCCAGGACTTGGTGCAGCACAGATGAAATTTGATGGAAAGCAAGTTAGGCTAACGGGAATTGATGCAGGTTCTCGCTGTTGATCTTCTGAACCCTTCGCCGGCCGCCGAGGCCAAGAAGCACAAGCTCAAGGTACGATGACAACCAAAAAAAAAAAATATGATATCAAACAACCACCCCAATTCCCAACATGACGACGCCATACACAATCACCAGCTACGATCGTTGATTCTAACAAGTTTTTTTTTTTTCCTTTCAGACCCTGGTCCCAGCTCCCCGCTCCTTCTTCATGGACGTCAAGTGCCCCGGTTGCTTCACCATCACGACCGTCTTCTCACACGCCCAGACTGTCGTCATCTGCCAGGGATGCACCACCGTTCTGTGCCAGCCTACTGGTGGCAAGGCCAGATTAACTGAGGGTTGCTCTTTCCGAAGAAAGTAAACTGCTCGCTGGCGGTTTTCTTTCCTTGGGTACTCATGACTCTTACGGTTCATCCATGGTGATCACATCTCCGGATCTGCAAAATAAAAGCAAACCAATTCTCGACAAATGGGTGCATAGACGAAAATGTTCTCTCTCACCTTTGCGAACAAAATAATCAACAACTCTCTTTTCTTTGCAGATAGAAGATGGAAGCCACCCACGAACAGGGGCGTTTGGGGTCTCCGGATATCTTGCATGGCATGTCATTCATCACGTTTTTTTCCGTTACGCGCGCCTTGTACCAAAGAGTCGTCTTTGAACCAGGAATCAAAAAGCACTGCATTGGGGGTGGATAGCTGGAGAAGGGCTTTCCACTAGTGTCTAGGGTGGTCTGGATGGCCAACTGGATATGAGGACGTGGAACCGCTGGTTTGAGGATCGCTTCATACCCGAGTGCTCTGGATAGTGGAGGTTAGGCACTGTGCTTGCGAAAATTCAAATGGTTTCCACGAATTCTTCCCATGTTGTGATAGATGTGAATGTGTGCGTAGACAGAAGAATTCCGAGTCTCGTGACTGGTGACATGAGTCACACCGAACACTCATCACCATCCCATGGATGGTTATCCCATGTGAAAGCCCAGCGGAACAGGCCTTGAAATTGGCCGTGATCTTGGACATGGGCGCCGTTGGCATATTGAAGCGACTATCGGCCTTGATAAAGCTTGAGCCGGGCAATTTACTTGCCTTGGGGGACTCTAGCCCTGACAACATGAGGGATGTATGAGCATCTCGGGAGAAATTCCAGATATGCTACCTGTCAGTATCAGGCCGTTCCCGTTTCACGCCATGTGGCAACCTTGTTTAGCTAGACTCTCTCGCTCGCCGTCGGGGTGGTCGTGTGCCTTGTCGCGTGCCTTGTCGGTCGAGGAAACAGGCGGACAGCCCAAGAAAGCGTAGTCACCTTGTGTTTGGCGCTTTTGTCTCCAAATTATGGCACATGTTCAACACATGTGCTGTAAATGTTGGTTCCTCACGGAGTTCATTAGTTTCACTGTTTTAACACTGGCAGTAACATCCATTGAAGTTTTTTTGACTTCTTTTGTCACGCATGTTCTGTTGAGCATCACGTAGCTACACCTACCCGGCATCGAATCTGGGCTTGCTAACCAGATATGCTCAGGCAAAACATGCTTCGGGCCTTTCTGCCTTCATGGTACTCCGTACCTCCTGTGTTGTTTGATGTATGTGGAGCTCACCGTGTTGGGAGGCAATCACCCCAGGGAAATAATTATAGATGGAATAGGCATAGGTTCATAGGGCCGAAGCTCTGGGTCTGATTGTGTCTGGCATATTTTGTCCCGGAAGTGTTGGTCTGTGGTGTGCTTCATAGCTGTTGCTGTTGCCGGAGGATTGTATCATGCCGCGTGTGTTTTGTCGGCCGGTACTCCGTGGATGTGGGTTATGTCAGGGGAGAAGGCAGAGTCAGCTCATTGAGACGCGCATCAAACGACACCAAACCATTAAGCCTGCAATGTTCTACAGAAGAGGTCCATGCGAAAAAAATATTACAAGCAGCGTATGCCACCCGGGCCAAAATTTCTTCAATCTACTCCGTACGGAAGATAGCCTTGCTATGGCTACCCTGAACATGATAAATGCGCCAATTGAGTTCGACCAATCCCGTCACATCATTTCCCCCGCACGAAGCCAACTGGGTTGAGAGAGCTTAATTTACACGAAATGGTCGCGACTGCCACGCGCTGCACTCTCCACTTCCGCTCGGACCAACAGGGGCGGTTTCAAGGGCATTTTTTCCTGCAGTGGGCGGCAGGTACTTGGCTATCGCGTTTCATACTATAACGTCATACAGTATGTTAGTATGTACTTCTCGGTGGGTAAATCAGGTCGTCTGCCACAGACTGAACATAGCAATGAGACCAACCTCCTGCACTCACATTGCCATCTTCAACACCAACCTCTTCAGCAATTGGCCTTTGTCAATCGCCCACAGCTCGCTTAGTCCGATCCCTCCCCTGTCTTCTTTGTTACGCGAACTGCAAGTCATTGACAAAACTCTCCACTCTACCGCGCTTTATTCCCTTTTGTCCATTAATAAAAACCCCCCTGTTATTCATTCTACTTTGCTGTGGACCAGGCAACAAACCGCTTTGGCATCTTCACTGAAACACACTGCCGAAACAAACAGCAATAGAAGGCATTTCAATCCCACAAGGGGGAACCGTTAAAAACCACATCCGCCATCCGGAGTCAGATCCCATCATCTGTTGCAAAACTCGTAACTGGCCCGTGTCGCAAAAAGTTCCTTTGCTCGCCACCTCGTCCTCCGTATAAAGACTCTCATTTCGCTAAACGGCCCCCCCCTCCGACCTATCCCATCACCATGTCGACTCCACGAATCAAGCGGCAATTCGCAGGCTCTTCGGCAGACGCTTCGCAGCGCCAAATCACATCCTTCTTCGCAAGCAGGGCGCCCGGCGACGCAGCCGACGAACCACAGCCGCAACACCCCCGCCAGCCTCTGCTCCAAGCAGCGTCCAGGCCAACCTGCTCAGCGTGGGCATGCGAGTGCGCAAATCCGTCCCAGAGGGGTACAAGACCAGCGGCACGAGCGCATTCAAGCTGTGGACGGACAACACCGTCCCAGCGGCGGCCTCCCGTACCGCGACGCAAACCACGCTGCGGGCCGCGTCCAGAGAACTCCTCCCCTTCTGCGGCATCAACAAGGTCGGCGGCCTCGATTCGCAGCCCGCGTTCGCCAGTGACGACGAGGACGACTCTGTGCCCGGGCCGGACGACGTGCCGGAGCTGACCATGTCGCAAGAGAGCGTGGACAGCAACGCCTCCGAACTGTCGCGGAAGCGATGCCACAGCGACGACGAGCGGGCAGATTGCCCAACCCTGTTGGCGCTGCCGTCCAAGGGGTGGGACGACCAAGTCAGCCCGCGGAGCTTTGCTCCGTCTCAGTGGGGGAACATGAGGGTCATGGCCGTCCCGAGGACTCGTGTGAAGAAGCGCTCGTCATTCAAGGACGTCGATCAGGAGAATGCAGCGGTGGACGGGGACTTTGGGGAGGCTGATTTTCTCGTTTTTGGTGGCACACGCGACATGGATCTGTCTTGAACAGTCAAAGAGTTGAATGATTTTTTTTGTTTCCTTTCCCTGTCACGAGCATAATTACCCCGTTGTATTGTATCTAGTAGGAGGCAGCTGCGGCTTTGGATTCAAGTATAGGAGTTTAGGGCGCATGGAACGGGACGGCAGAAAATGCCCACTTGGGCCATAATGAATTGTCATGTATTTTACATTACACGTCTCGACTATGGAGACATTGAGCTACCACGGGTGGCTGAAAGCATAACTAGGCATAGAAAACCCCGACACATCAAGCTACATACCTACAAATGGCTCCCGAAACTCCAGCAAATCTCGCTGGCCGTAGAATTCTCCCGCAACAGTCAATATCATGTTCAGCGTCGCGCGCATGTTCATGCGTAGTCGCAGCGTAGCGTTGTCTTCCTGGGTATCGAGTTCCTGCTCCGCATCCGACGCATCCAGGCGCGCTAGCAACTCTCGTTTGGCAGCTTCGAGACTTTCATCGACGGCGCCGCCTTGGTCGCTGTCCGAGTCCGAGTCCAAGTCCATGGCTACGTCCCCGGTCTCAGACTCCTGGATCTCGCCCTCTTCGTCCTCGTCTCTGTTGCCTGTCGCACTGCCTTCCAGAGTTGAGTTTACCCCTGGATCCCCTTTATCTGCCTCGTCTCCGGCAACACTTTCCTGGTTCAAGTCTTCCGCGGGGCCATCATTCTCACCCGGGCTATCTGTGCTCTCTACATCGTCGGCATCAGTTCCCACCACATCCTCATCGCTGCTACTCGCATCAACGCCCTCGTTCACGCCTAGCTCTCCGTCTGCGAGCTCATCCCGCAGTGCTGCCATCTCGGCCAAACTCCTGCTGAGGAGGACTGCGCGCCTACCGAGGTCCCGCACCCAGCCTATCTCGGTGTGGTTGAGTTCCCCTCGATCTGGTAGTCGTGCAAGCAACCCCCAGAGCCACTGGCTCGTTCGTTCGGACAGAGTGTGGCCCCTCCGTAAGAATGTGCCACCTATAAGTACGCGTAGGATGCGGATTACGGTTTCTTTCGACATGAGTGCTAGCTGCAGCGGGTGGGGGTCAGTGTTGCGCATGATATTTGCCCATGTTTTGTTGGTGGTGGAATCGCGGCCAAATGGTGCGGCGTACGTTTCTTGTGTCGAGGATAGTCTCTTGGCGGCGTCCGGGGGTGGAGTTGAGTGTAACATCTGGCGAAGATGATTATATCGGGCCACTACTGAGGAGAAGTATGCTTCGTGAAGCTCTCTTTCATCATTGCGATAGCCATGGACCGCTTGGCCCGTTTGCTCGTCTTCGTCATCCTCTGGCATCGCAATGTATGCTCCGTCGTCGTAGTATCCTCTGGGATCATCGCCTGCCCCAGTATTATAGATGTTTCGATCGACCTGGCCTTCATCGTCTTGTTGTAGCTCGGGTGGGAACTGAGGCCCGATTTGAACTTTTGGCGCGACGAGCAAATGCGGAATATCATACGCCTCTTTTCTGTAATACTCACCGTATCAGCATCATCTAAACGATGAGAATACAAAAAAGATATATTCAGCAAACACACGTTTCCGATAGACAAGCATAGGATTATGTAGGGCCGTTTATGAGCATACCTGACAGATAAGAGATAGGCCATGGCGTCAGAGTCGTCCTCAAAGTCCGACTCCTCGCCGTAGGGGATGGTTGTCGCATCTTCTAGACTTGAAAAAACGTATTTTTGCCCCCATGTTGGATCTATGGACGAGTTTTGGTGTTGGTGTCGGGGCATGGCGCCGGTTTGTTTCTTTGTCCGTTTGGGGTCCGGTTCTGAGATTTCGCCTTCGTCGACATCCGACAGCTCGCGTTTAGAGGACATGCTGCCGCGGGGCAATGCAGCGCCCTTTGATATTGGGGCTATGACGGTGAAATGGTTATTGACTGCATGGAAGAAAGTATGCAAGGAAGAGATGGTGGCGGGGTTGTGTTGGCGCAAAGGTCGGCGGACTCGAGGTCGAATGTCGGTCGTGAATAAATGTCGAGTTGAAGCTATCAAATCTGTGGTCCCCAATGTCAATTGATGCAGGTCCCCTGGACGTTGGACCTGTGCACCGACCGGCTGCCTGGGGCTGATCAAATGCTGCCCAGCCAGCGCCAGGCCTGATCTGCTTGGACGCTAGCAGTAGCACTAACCGCTAACTGACTAGCCGCACGCCAAGAATCAATGTTGCATGTGAGCAAAACGCCGAACAGCTAGACCTCGACTTTTCGGACCCTGACATTCATTCAATGATTGATTTCAAGGCAGTCTTTCCAACCGTCACCATATTAATGGTCTTGCGAAGCTCATCATGAGAGCAGCTTGCGTGCGCTGCTCGGCTTTTCATCCGCACATTCACATACGAGCACGAAGCAGAGTTGCTCGAGCTGCGTGCCTTGATTCATCATGGCAGTCCATGTCGCAGTGCCGCTCCCAGAGTACAAGCTGCAATCACTTTGTGAACAGTGGTATGTGCTTGGACAGCATTGAGACCCGTCATCTGCTCGTGTACGGTGCTAACTTGACCCGTTGAAACAACAGAAAGAATACAGCCAGCCTCTCCTCCGCCGCAGCTGCTCCCCTGCGCGAAGCCCTTCAAGCTCGCCGTCAAGGACAACATCGCAACAGCCGAGTTTCCGACACAATGCGCCTCTCGTATCCTCCGCGGCTATAAATCACCATACGAAGCTACAATCGTCACACAGCTGCGTGCGCGAGGCGGCATCGTCGTGGGAAAGACCAACATGGACGAGTTCGGCATGGGCTCCCACACGACAAACTCCATGCATGGCGCGGTGAGCAACCACCTTTCTACGGATGAGCCAATCTCCGCAGGAGGCAGCTCTGGCGGCAGTGCTGTTGCTGTCATGCTGGGGGAAGCGGATATTGCCCTGGGAACTGACACGGGCGGTTCAATTCGTCTGCCTGCGTCGTACACGGGAGCTGTAGGGTACCGCCCGAGCTATGGCATGATTTCGCGCTACGGCGTGTTTCCCTACGCCAATTCATTGGACACGGTGGGACTGCTGGCCAGAGAGGTGAAGCCAATTCTCGATCTTCTGGTGGAAACCAAGCTGGACGAGGAGCACGACCCCAACGACCCGACGTCATTGTCTCCAGCCTCGAGGCGACGATGCGCCAAAGCATGCCCGCCGGTGCTGGAAGACATGCCCAAGCTCACTGTTGGCATTCCCCTAGAATACAATGTTGCCGAGCTGGACCCCCTCATGCGACAGGCTTGGGCGGAAGCTGCCACAGCGCTGGAATCCGCCGGCGTGAACATCGTGCCGGTGTCTCTGCCGTCAACCAAGGAAGCACTATGCGCGTACTACGTCCTTGCCCCCGCCGAGGCGTCCTCCAACCTCGCCAAGTACGACGGCGTTCGATACGGCGCGCGAGGGGAGCACGGAGACGCCCGGGGGGACACGTTGTACTCGGAGACCCGGGGAGCCGGCTTTGGTCCCGAGGTCAGGCGTCGCATCTTGCTGGGCACCTACAGCCTCAGCTCCGAAGCAATGGACAATTACTTTGTCCAGGCGCAAAAGGTCCGCCGGCTGATCCGACAGGACTTTGACAAGGTGTTCAGGCGGGACAACCCGCTCCATGAAGCGGCGCAGTTCGACCTCAGCGACATGGATGCCGAGACGGCTCTGCAGGACAGGCAGGGTCCTCCGCAGGTAGACTTTCTCCTGTCGCCGACTGCAACGTCATTCGCGCCGACGCTGAATGACGTGCTTACAAAGAGCAGTTTGGAGGCGTACATGGGGGATGTTTTCACCGTGCCCGCAAGTCTGGCTGGCTTACCTGCCGTCAGCGTGCCGTCAGGGAGGGTCGGGGAGGGTAGATTGCCGTTGGGACTGCAGTTGATTGGGCAGTATTGGGATGATAAGCGGGTGTTGGCCATGGCTGAGAGATTAAAGACGCTGGCGGCATAGATGGTGATCTTTTTTTTCTTTTTTTTTGGTGCAATCACGGATGGCAGAATGAGTGGGCGTCAAAGCATTTGCAGTTCATTATATTAATACACAAGGATATCATGGTGCGCTGCCCACGCGGGTCAGCACCACGGACCAAAGGCAGAGTGGCCGTTTCCCGCGACCCCTTCTAGTTGACTGAGAATTGGCACCAATCTGCGTGTTGTTGTATCCCGGCATTGCGCATCTGCGCAATATATCCCCAGACTTGACACTGATTGACCCCCCCAAGCGCCCATGTGAGCCGTCTAGCAGCCAGCAAATTGCCGTTTTCCTCTGTAGTCATTCGTCATGGCATTAGACGGGCAAAGAGCCTCGCCATCGCCGTAGTCAGGCCACACCATCATTGCCGTGGGAACCCGACTCGGCGAGACCGTCCATACAGCCACAGGAAGAATGTCGCATCCGTCTTGTTCGTAAAATCCCACCGTCAACATGAGCTCAAGGCGACCTCGACCCGGATCTACTCAACCCCCCTTCCTCCCTATCCACATCCACATCGCCCCCAACCTCGCCCTCCTCAGCGTCCTCGTCCCGCAAGCCCCCCTCGGCCTCGTCCTCCTCGTCCAGAATATCCTCCAAGTCGCCCAACGCGCTGACCCTGGGCTCCAGCTCGTCCAAGTCCTCCAGAATCTCGCGCGGCGGCATCTTCCACAGGCTCGTGGCGCAGACCCTCTCGCGGGTCAGCAGGTCGTCGACAAAATCGTCCACGTACGTCAGGCTGGTGCCGCGCCTCCCCTTCCTCCGCAGCTTGCGCCGGTCGTCGAGGAAGGGCTCCAGCGTGCGGTACACGTCGGCCGCCTTGCGCGTCAGGCGGTAGTAGAAGCAGGCCAGCGCGCGCAGGTACTTGAAGTGCTCGCCGCCGTAGGAGAGGTACTCGCGCACGACGTCCTCGGAGGGCCCCAGCTCGAGGAGCTTGAAGGCGAGGCACAGGAACGGGCTGGGCTTCTGGGCGTCGCCGTGCGTGCCGCCCACGAAGCTGACGTGCTCGACGACGCGGTCGACAATGTCGGCCTCGTTGAGGGCGAAGCACTGCTCCTTGTAGAAGTAGGACTCGACGATGCGGTCCTTGACGGCCTTTTCCATTATGGTCGCCGGGTTGAGGCCGTTTGGGGCGAGGGCCGCGGTCGACCCGCGCTCGTCGAGGAATCGGCGCGCGTCGGCTTGGACCGTGTCGCTTTTTGACATGACGGCGACGAGTACGGCTTTGAGAAGGCTTTGGACTGTGCGAAGAGACGGCTTGTGGTTGACGACGAGTGGTGGTTTTGGGGTGTTTCTGCAACGGGGAGGGGGGGTTTCTAAACCACGGATTGGTGCGATAAGATAGTTGCCGTGCCAACAGTGGAGTGAAGTTGCATAAACGGCTTGGGAGGTGACGTGCCGACTGGCAAAACTGCACTTTGCAAATGAACAGAAGAATCAAGAAAAAAAAAGGAACTGATTACTGGTATTTTCATCTTCTTCAAGTATACGATTGATTGATCTACGTCGATATCCAACATGCGCAAGGCGCTCCTCTCTTCGTCCGAGGTATCGGCCCTCGTGTCCATCATCGTCGGTATGGGCATATTTCCAGAGACATTCCTGCGCGACGGCACATGTCCCGCATTCCAAGGGCTCAAAATTTAATAAATGCCATTCTAACGGGGACGCAGTTATCCTATTCACGCTCGCCCTCTTCCTCAGCGGCTACGCCCTCCAGCAGCGCACGCTGCAGGACCTCCGGGTTGCCATTCGGCCGGGACACACGAAGCCGTCGCCCAAGGCGCACCTGCCAGACTACTTCAAGCGGGAGACGGTGCGGCTGCAGGACGGGACGGTGGTGGTGCGGGAGAGCCTGGCGGACAAGGACGAGAAGGCGCGCATAGCTAAGAAGTATGAGCTCCACGGGGACGAGGACAGGGCCAAGACGGAGCAGAAGCAGGGGGATGACGCGAGACTGGCGCCGGAACAGCGAGCACATGACGAGGCGCAGGCCGACGGAGGGACCAGGAGACGGGCGACAGAGGAGCAGTTGGCGATGCTGGAGACGATCAAGGAGCGGGCTGCTGGGCAGGCGTGGGGGGTGGACCATCCTGATCCGCTGGCCAAGAATCCTCTTCCCGTCACGAGGGCGGAGCGTAGGAAGCTCATCAAGGATGAGATTCAGAGGCTGGCGCAGGCGGAGAAGCCGGTGTATTATCAGCGGCGGCTGTGGTGATTGTGTCAATGTATGGGTTTCTTTTGTGTGTTTGTCAGATTGTCAGGAATACGCCGTCATGTGTAAATGGAATGAATATGATTTGTATTGTAGAGGGAGGACAAAGAGAGATGACAATCTTTGCTAGTAGGGACTCCTCCATCTTTTGCAGTACAACACATCAACCTGGTGTCAGTTCTCTGTGTAAAGACAGCGGGAGTCGGCGTACTCGGGCCGGCTCGCAGCTGATCCTTGACAACCACCGTAAGCGGGTGGCGGAGGTTGTACTCCCCGTGATATCGGTCTCGTCGGATAGACCGAGTCCCACAAGATACAACATTCTGCCCGGTCGAACTGTTTCCGCTTATTGCAATGCTGAGAAAAAAAAAAGGGAACACAAAAAGACTGGTTGACGTTTGGAGTCGAGACACAAAAAATGCCCCTCCGCGGGGTAGTTTTCGACACACCAGACATACCAGTGTCAGACCTGCATTGGCAGCTCGGCGCGTCCCAGACCCATCTATGGCCATCTAACACCAGCAGAATCCCCGTCCATTTAAAACGATCCACCAACGCAAGAGCTCAGTCTTGCAATATCCCCTAAATGCAGCGAAGGCGGCAGCGAGGTCACGACAGGGATTTTAAACCAATTAAAAGCTAGTATTTAAAAGGTACTTCATTTTATCCTTAATTTATATGATAAGGAAAGTCCCCATAAACTTTCGTATTACAAGAGACTACATCACACATATCATCGCCCCACTATTATTAGGCCTAATACAGTTATTGGTGATGTCACTTAAGGTTTACGGCCGGTGGCAGGGGCGTTATGGAGCCCGTGACCTCACTGCCGCCTTCGCTGCATTTAGGGGATAAGAGTTGCATTGGCAATCTGGAGCAAGGTAACGTGGTCAGTTGGCGACATGGACCATGTAGTTTCTTTGCCGTGTCACAGCAGTGCTTTGCGCTCTGGGTGCGAAGCTGGCGTGGATGGCACACGCGTCAAAACCCTGGTAGACTCGACCAGCTGAGTTGGCAACTTCTGTGTAGTTGCAGCCAAGACAATATGAGTTGATGACGAGCCGTGTTGTCTTGGCACGAGGCGCCATGCTGTTGTGCGCCTTTGGTGTCAACACTACGTTTCCGACTCTCCTCGGCCAACGAAAGTCGACGTGGCTTCAGAGCTGACGGTCGCACCCGGCGGCGTCCTGAATGTTTCTCGTAGGCGTGGTGATGGCTCCATGCCCTCCAGTTCCTACTGCTAGGCGTTTGTTTTCGCATCGCGATGCGTCAGACACACTAAAGTTTATGCCGGTGACTCATACCGTAGACTTAAACATGGACGCACTACATATATTAACGAGGTCTCGTCGGTATTCCGCGAGTTGGTTCTCTGTCTCTTCTCATCAGAGAAAAAAAGAGGGAAAAAAGGGGAAGCTGAAAAAATCTACCAAAGAACTATCAAGAACATAAAACTATCAGCTAAATTGTCCTCATTATAGAGGCTGAAAACTATGTCTGGATAAAGATAAAATAACCCTCCGTAATAAGAATAAACTAGCTTATCGTGTTTATATTTTTACTAGCTCCTTGGTAGATTTTTTCAGCTTTCCCTCTTTTTGCTCTTTCTTCTCCGTGTCTTGAATAGCCTTTGAAAAAATAATATAAAATCAATCAACACTAGAGCAACATAAAGCAGCCAGCAAATTCCAGCCCAGCCCACAGCCCTAACCTTGGTCGGATGGACCACGGCCTCGACCCATGCAAAGCACCGTGTGCAGCCCGTCCCAAGTCAGCCGCGCAGCCCAAAATAGCAGCCATCAGGCCACTCGCAAGGAATTTAATTGAAATTCCACACAAAGCGCTTCCATGCACGTGCCCAACAAGACGGAAACAGAAGAGGGACTCAGCCTTACGGCCGGGACGCGTCCACGTGCAGCGTCCCCTGCCGACGGGCGACGCTCGCCGGCAGCCCAGCCAATCCCGGGCCTGCCAGCCGCCAAGCACACGCCAGGTCCGGACCCCAAAACAAATTGCCACGTTTTTTTTTTGGCTTATCGGAAACATGGCCCCCGTCGCAAATTAGCCGGGAAAAAAAAAAAGAAAAAAAAAAAGAGAAAAAAACAGACCATCGGCGTCTTACGTCTCAGCCTTTGGCAGAAACTGGCTTACCCGCCCGTCATCCCGTCCCAGTGCTCTGGAATCCAAATCGTGGCGCCGTCGCTTTGAGCAGTGAAGGCTGAAAAAGACAAAAACCTGCTGCATCTGGCATTTTCCGCAGACCCGCCGACAGAGAATGGCGTTGGGCAAATTTCCAAGGGTCCGGCTCAGCCTGGCTGGGGTGCTGGACAAACCCGAAAACCAAGTGACGTAATTTAATTTACACTCTTGTTTTCTGCCTCCCGCCCCTGCCAAGAGGGGGATTGCGAGCCGTGGGAGCCGGATAAACACAAAAGTGGACCGTAGGGCACAGAAGGCAGTGGAGGAGGAAAAAGTGCTTTCGGAAATGATGTGCTGTAAAGTATGGGCCGGGAGGATCGGACAGTTCAAGTTTCAAGTTTTTTTTTTTTTTGCAAAAAACTAATTTCATCATGGATAAATTGAGGAATGTTCGGCATTTGGATTCCATACAGGGTGGGGCAAGAGTCCGAAAACGGCCATGGGTGCCGGGATTGTATCAAGTTGTGAGCCCTGTCCGGGGCGAGGATATGTGAGGAATCATCGGTGGACCTCGAGCTAGCAGGGCGCGCCGCCAAGGCGCAAAACATTGGGCAACGAAAAAAAAAAAAATGCCTGAGCGTTGCGTTTTTCTCGATGCCGGGGCTCCGAGACGGCGGCGAGTCAGGGACCGTGGACCGTGGAGAAGGGCACCTGAAGCCGGCAAATGCGTTGGAAGCATCCACGGGTGTGAGTGGTGATGAAAGATGCAAGAGGCAGCAACACGCTAAGTGTGCTCGGTATACATATACCGTATTAGGAAAGACAAAAAAAGATGGAGGCGCCAATTACGGACACGTTGACGCAAGACGAGGTGCAGGACGCCAGTCATGATGGATGTGGATACGATTGGAACAGACAGGCAGCAGCACTTGCATGCAGACAAGGAAGCATAGCAGGGTACAAGTATCCATTCATATAATTATAAGAAATGAACGCATAGACACATGCCTACAGACAAGTAAGGATAGCACGGGTGCAAGTGTCCATTAGTATAATTAAAAAAATGACAAACAAACGCAACCGCACATGCATACACAAGTAAGCATAGCAGACGTAATCACCCATCTATATAAACACAAGTAAAACATGACCAATCAAAAGACACACATGCTTACAGACATGCAAGCGTAGTGTAGCACAGATATCGTCACCCATCAGTGCAATCACAAGATAAATCGTCACCAAAAAGACACCCGAGTGTCTGGGAGCACGCGTAATCACCCATACGCATCACCAAAAGTCACCAATAAGACACAAACAAGAGACCAAGAGTGGTATACGCCCTGATGGACAAGTATTATAATGAAAGAATAGATAAGCCAAGTCATACAAGCCCCCATCCATCCCGAGGTATCCCTTCCAGAGCGCCATGCTAAAAAAAGACCCAAAGAAAAATGCAGACATGCTTGCAGTAAAAGACACAAGAAAATAGAGTCAGACATCCAAGTGATGACGGATGAAGAGAAGATGGAAAAGGACATGCAGCCAGCGCATGCGTAGTAGTTACAAGTCAGCCCCCGCGTCGCTCTCGCTCTCGCTCCCGTTGAACACGACGCCGCGCCGCTTCCAGCCGCTCCGCTTGATCAGGTCCTCGAGGCTGTCGAGCGACCGCATAGGCGGCCTCTTGGGCGTGGACACGCTGCGCTTGTGGCTAAAGTTGGGAACGTCCAGCGGGCCGGGGGCGTCGGAGCCCGGCGTCTCGTCGAGGTCGAGGTCGTCTGCCGACGAGAGGTCCTGGTCCAGCGTCTGGACGGTCGACTCGGACCAGCGCGAGCGCGGCATGGGCGGGCGCCTCGTGGCCAGCTGCAGCATGAAGTAGTCCTGGGCGGCGCCGGGGGTGTCGACGACCTGCTGCTCCGGCGGCGGCATCGTCATCTCGCTCGGGTGCGAAAAGTGCAGCGCCTGCGCCCTGCCGACGACGGTGTAGTCGCCGCCGTCGATGCTCTGGTGGTCCTCGCCCAAGTCCTCGTCGTCGGTGGAGTCGTCGAAAAAGGTCGACGCCGGCGGGTCGCGGCACCGCTCGGGGCTGATGAGCGGCCGGTCGTGGAGCCGCGGCGGAGGGTGGAAGGTTGGGTGTGCGCTGAGGGGGCCGAAGCAGCCCGGCGAGGAGGAGCCGGTGATGGGCGTTCTGGCCGATAAGGGTGCGCGTGCCGTGGAGGTGGACGATGTGGACGATGTGGACGATGATGACGACGAGAGCGAGCAGCCGGACGAGAGGGAGCAGCCGGAGAAGGACACCTTGCGGATGTGCAGGTCCTTGGGCTTGTGTGTCTTTCGCCGCTGGCTGAAGCTGTGGCCAATGTTGCCGAGGACGTGCATGTTGGGCCAATGGAGTGTATAATGACGTTGTTGTCGGTGATGCGAGGTGGTGTGTGTTTGTAGATTATATATGTAGTAGGTTGGCTGAGTTGGTTTCCGTCGATGCCGGGTGATTCGGGGTATTGCAGGTAAAGCCGACGGGAGGATGATGTCAGATAGCTCGTGTTGGGCGGACGTGGTGAGACGCCAGGCAGGTAAGTGTATGTATATAACTTATAATTAGGAGATGTGTTTGAGTGCTAACGTCCAGGCTGGGCGTTTGCTCCGAACCATCAATGTCGAGATGTACGACGCCTGGTCCTGGCAGAGAACAGATGGCACGAAGCAGCATGTGGGAAGGGCATTCAATATATGCAGAGCTGGCCATGAGGTGTGCTGCAGGTACATACGTCAACGTACGGCGTACAAAGTACCAGACGTCAACACGGTGGGGGGGTGCAGCCGTGAGGCGACAGGGATGTTGCGAAAACGGGACCTGATGGGCGCCCCTC